ATCATCATCATCATCATCATCATCATCCAGGAGGTGGAGCTTTAACGCAGGAAGTAGTCTGTGCTGTTTTTTGTTGATAACGTGTAAATATTGTCAATACTTGTGAATACTAAAAACAATTAAACGTAAAAAAACAAAATATTACTCGATCGAAATTTCTTTTGAAAGATTTCAAGTTGTAAAGATGCAAATAATCCAACCAAAGAAAATTCATTTTCCATAGCGGGACAGATGCATGAGAGACCAATCCACTATTTTTCAAGATGTGCCCAGCCATTGAGCAGTCCCTCCATACTGTGTGCTCCATGGATCGCACAATATGGAGGGACTGGTCAAAAATCCAAAATGCCGTTTTTACTTGCAAGTTAAAATGGCATTTTTGATTGTTTGTCACCCTCCGGTGGCTGGTTTGGGTAGTACACCTGGATCACGCCGAGGCCATCTGAATGCGTCAACATTTTTATTTGGCAGACAAAAGTAGCATTGCGACGCTTCGTGACCGGCACGAAGACGCCGTCCGATGCATAAATTAGCGGAAAGAGGAAAGGAAATATCAGGCCGGGGGTGGGGGGGGGGGTGTCTACTGGTGGTCTACTGGTGGTACTGCCGCCTCCTGGTCGTCCAGCGAGCGCTTGCGGGCGAAGAGGTGGGTGGGATCACGACCCCGGAAGCCGGGCTGCACGTTGAATACGGGCACGTTCCTCCAGGCGGACGGGTCGTCGAAGGGGGCGGCGGCCTGCCCCGCGTCGCACTCTTTGGTCTGGACCATCTGCAGGAAGGTCTCCATATCGGGCCCCAAACGACCCAGCAGGCCTGAACGCACCGCCGCCACGGTCTGCCCGTCGCACGCCTGCAGCGTCTGCAGCAGCGTGCTGTAATACCTGCGTAACACACACCAATACGTTATACTTTATCATCGTAACATACTGCAGAAAACGGGAAAAAAAATAAATTAGTGCACTTGAACGCATCACAAACAAGCGGAAGCTCCCTCCACGCCAGCAGGGGGCGACAGACTTTACATCTTGTCATGACTACGTCTGCACAGCAAGACGTGACCGGTACGCAGATAACACCTTGCTTGTCACGTTACGGGTTACGAAAAAACATTTGTGGTCATGAGTCACATGGAACAAGTAACGGTATTACAAGTTCTAAGCATGTTAGGTGAAGGAAGCGTGGCAACCTGTTGGGGAAGTGCGTGGGCACTTGCACGACATCGGCGAAGGCCTGCGGGTTTTCACGTGCCACGCTGCAGATGTCGTGCGTGATGAAGCATTCCTCCTGCACTTCGGCGATCATCCTCTGGAAGATGTTGCAGCGGCGGATGGTTTGGAAAACTTTACTGCCGATGCCCTGGGCCACGCAGTGCAAACTCTTCTTCACGAACATCTTGCCCTAAACGCCAACAACACAACAGGCGCGTGGCCGTCAGCCACGGACGGCGCTGCTTGCGCGACTTGCAGAGTTGCGCCGCTCACGAGAGTTAGGCTTTCAATTGAGGGATTAAAAAGAAAAAAAACAACAAACTTGGGATAGGGTTTCAAACACAGGGTGGGGTTTCAAATTAGGGTTTGAGAATTAGGGGAGAGTTTTTAATAGGGGACTGCTATAAATTATGGTTGGGGATTCAAAGTAGTGTTTTAATTTAGGGTTAAGGTTTCAAGTAGGATTTGAAATTTAGGGTAGGGTTTCAAATTAATCTTAGGGTTTCATAGTAGGGTTTGAATTTGGGCTTAGTTTTACAAACTTAGGGTGGAGTTTCAAGGCAAGGTTTTAAACAAGGGTTTTGGTTCTGAATTAGGGTTAGAAGGTAGGATTCGTGTATGAAATTAGGGTTTTAAACTCAGGTTAGGAATTCAAAGTAGGGTTTTGAAATTAGGTTTATGGTTTCAAATTGTGGTGCTTCCAAATTCAGGGAAGTGTTTCAAATTGGGGTTCAGATTTCCAATTCAGAGTAGGGTATTGATTCAAATTACGGTTTCAAACTCAGGTTTCAGGTTTCAGAGTAGGATGAGGTCTTGAAAGTTGGGGTAAGGTTGTTCAATTTTTTTAAATTTAGATTTTAATGGAAGATGAGGTTCTCGAAATTGTCGGTTCAATCTCGGGTTAGCATTTCAAATTAGGTTTTGAAAAAAATCAGGTTAGGGTTTCAAACTAGGGTGATGCTTTGCAATTAAGGTTTCAAGGTGGGGTTGGGGCTTGAAATGAGGATTTGATAGGGTTTGTCACCTCGGTGTTGAAGGTGGCGGCGGCCTGCAGGAAAAGCTCGCAGATCTCGTGCATCCCGTCCGTGTCGCACGTAGAGTTTTCCAGGCACGAGAAGAAGCCGCAGCCCACCGCCACCGCGCCATTCAAGCAACGCGCCACCTCCGCTGCCAAACAGACACGCCACACGCCGCCTTACTCGCATCAAATCCAAAAAACAACTCCCATTCATTCACAGGACACGAGAGGGTGTGGCTCACCGGGGCTGTTGGAGGAGAAGCGGGCGCGGCGCGCCGCCACCTCTTCGGCCAGCGGCTCCGAGCACCACGCCGAGGCCGCCACCACCGCCACCGCGATCAACAGACGACAACACCACGACGAGTGCCACATCTTCAACCAGGAACCGGGACCGGGGACCAGAATGAAGGTTTGCCGGCCACGCGGCCGCTCCCTTTATAGGACGCCGGCTCGACTCGGGCCAATGGGAGCCCGGCGACGGACGGCCAACGGCTCCTTGGTGACGTCACGGGAAGAATGTTCCGTTGGGCGGCCGTCACATCCCGGCCATTTGCATTCTGCTCACGTTCGTCTTGGGGGGGGGCGGGTGGCTTTGGTCCGCTGGAATGCAACCACATCGGGCCTTGCACGCACGCACATTCTCACACACGACAAAACGTCACATATGCTGTACATACATCACTAAAATTATCCACGCACACTCGCAACAAAAACAAAATACAGTATATGAACTTGAAAGACGCACTCACAGTCAAACGACAGTGTCCATATACCCACACACACAAACTGACACAGTCCCATTCGCCCACACACACACACACACACACACACACACACACACGGAAACAGCAACAAAAATACACAAACGCACTTGAACAGTTGGCTAAATGCTAAAAAGAAAAATGCACGCGACACAACAAACGTGCACCCACCAACAGTCCTACAGCGCACGGACCGAAACCCACCCAAAAAGGTGGAGATGCTCTCCGCACGCAACACAAACGCATTCACGTCCGAGGCGCTTTGGATCGTCACACATTTCTCGCTTTATTTTGATCGCTAACGGAGGCCGTTCCTAATATTTTGACCGATCCCCGAGGCACGAATCATGCCTGCGTCGAGAGAGACCGAGCGTACCTCATGAAGGGGCCGCTGAGAGAACACGCAGCACCCGTGGGTCAGAGTTCAAGATCGGTCGTGCTCCGTTGTCATGTGAGCGTGGAAAAAGTGCTGTGTCTTATCAGCGCCGCGAACAGGAAGCGGCGACCTGTGCCGGTCAAGGGTCGACGCACTGCGCGCAAACGGCAACGCGCGTCTTCACAACCTGCAGGCAAACGCACGTCTACACAACACACGCATACAAACTCCTGCAAATTTTTTTTTTTTTTTAAATGATGCCAGGCCCCACAAAAACACATTCATAGAACTGAACAAACATGCATCCCGAAGCACACATCTCGTGCGCCGTCAGACTATTCCGGCCTGGTGGCACATTTGGTAGAAGTGTCCTTGTTGTTGGATGAGCCGGGCGGGGGCGTCCACCTCCACGATGGCGCCGCGCTCCATCACCATGATCCTGCGGTCAGAACGGAGGCTCAACACTCACCGCTTTGCATTAGCACCAAGCCGCCACAATGCAGCGCCGCTCGGGGAGCAACCGTCACGGCGCGCCGGTTTTCTGGCTCCGGTCGTGTGACGTTCACAAGCAAGTTCAGCAATAATTGTTTTGAAGGGGGATTTTTTTTTTTTTTTTCTTTACACACTTAAAGGCAAATGTGTCTCCGTGGCTATGCGGCCTGAATGAAGTTTCATGATTGGCAACATTTTCTGAAGACATGAATGGCATTGTTGGATATTCAGAAATGTTCTCCGATTTCCCATGAAAACGAAGCTCAATCCATCTTTGTGTCTTAAGAGTCCCTTTTTTTGGTTTTGTTGGCCAATGTCACTCAAGGTGTCGGGAGCGTGAATGCCACCGGAGGGAGTTTTTGCGACCTTGCTGCAATACGCTATTTTTTTTTCTCATCGCATTTTGTCTGCGTCTGCATTTCGGAGTGTCTTCTCCTGACCTGTTGCAGTCCATGACGGTGTTGAGTCGGTGGGCGATGGTGAGGACGGTGCAGTGGTTGAAGTGAGTCCGGATGGTGGACTGGATCAGCTGGTCCATCTCCAGGTCCACAGCGGCCGTGGCTTCGTCCAGGAGGAGGATTTTGCTTTTCCTCAGCAGAGCTCTCGCTAAGCACAACAGCTGCCGCTGACCGACACTACCCGCACACAGAGTTTGAAAACAATATTTTAAGCGCGCAAAATGGATGTCCTGGTCATTATAATTTTGCATCATGTTTCGTCTTGGTGTGAGGATAAGAAAGTAGTGCCCGTTCCGTTGTTTTTCGATTCATGGATCGATGTCTTTTAAGACTTTTGAAAGATCCGCAGGAAACTTGGGCAAAGTAAATCATTGCCGGTGCGCCAGGTCGCCGTTGGGTTTTGGTGTGTTGCGGCCACGGTGACGAACGGTTCGTACCTGAGGTTCTCGCCTCCTTCGCAGCACTGATGCTGCAGCGTGTCGGGTAACGCCCGCACAAAGGCGCTGAGGTGAGCGAGTTCCAGCGCTCGCCACAGCTCCTCGTCGGAACAGTCGTCGAAAGGGTCCAGGTTCATCCTGAGGGAGCCGGAAAACAGCACCGGATCCTGGTTGGGGGCGGGGTCACAAAAATCAGCGGTCGCGATTCATCAATGGCTTCTTGGTATTTCCGATCGGAGCGTGACCACGGAACAAATCGCTCGTATCTCAGGGCCACAAGGCAATAAATGAAGCGCGTCAGGGTGCAAAAGTCTTTTGGCCGCTGTGAAATTTGCTGGCGAGTTGAGTCGTCCATACGGAGGCTCACCTGAGGAATGATGGTGATCCTGGAGCGAAGATCCCGAAGGCCAAGCTGAGCAATATCCACTTCGTCGATGTAGATGCGCCCACTGGCCGCTTCCAGAATACGAAAAATCGCCAAAGCCAAGGACGACTTCCCTGCTCCCGTCCTCCCGACGATCCCCACCTTGTCGGCGGCGACGGCAAGAGCGTTAGCGTTAGCACTCGAGCCGGGACGATGCCGCCGAAGAAAGCGCCAAAGTTGCGGCCAATGAACGATCACACTGAACACGTTCGACCGGCGATGGCGACTCAAGCGCATTCCAAAAGTGTTTCGCCGTCTTGCCCTCCGTCACCTTCTCTTTGTCTTGGATATTGACGGAGATCCCCTTCAAGGCCCAGTCCAGACCTTTCCGATACTGCAGCCCGTAGTCCTCGAACTGGATGCTCCCCGTCGTCGGCCAATCAGCCGCGAGGTGAGCGTTCTCCGTCAGCCAAGCCGCCTGAAGAGTCGCGAGCCGGTTGGGGACAGTCGGGACCGCACGTGGCGCAGATCGGCGCGGTGCAGAAGCAAACCTCTTTGGGCGTGTTCGCGTACTCCTGGACTCGCTCCACCGACACGATGTTGTTCTCCACGTCAGTCCAGGACCGAACGATCCAGCTCAGGATCCCGGTCACCTGCATCGCAAAAGCAATTGGAAAGAAACTTTTTGCCGGTTTGGTGAAACGGCGAGTGTCTTATCAAAGCAGTTGCGTGTCCGAACCTGAAGCGAGTGAGACAGCGCCAAACCCACCACGCCAGGACTGAGCTCGTCCCGACTTCGCACCGACAGGATAGCGGCAGCCAGAACCAGAAGATTGCCCAGAAACTCCAGATTGACCGCCAGCCATCTGACAGACAGAAATGACTTTTCGGAAAACCAACAAAGTGGGACCTTTTTCAAAATGGAGGGCGCAGCGCAATGTACCTGGTCGCCACAAATCGCGGGAAATAAGCTTCTTGGTTCTTGTCGATGCGACGCTGGGCCTGCTGCACAAAACGTTTCTGCTCGCCGAAGGCTCGGATGACACAGACGCCCTGCACCGTTTCGTTGAAGTGACTGTAGATGGGAGAGCGACTGACCGCCTCCAGTCGCCGCAGCTGACACGACGCCGCCACGTAGAAGCTCTGCAAAGACGCACGGTGAAAAACGGCGCCCTCCTCGACGGGGCCGGGGCGAAAAGAAGGCCACCTGGATGAAGACGTAGAGGCAGGTGAGCGGGAGCAGCACCAGGCCGCTGAAGGGCGTGGCCACCAGGACGATGATGCACACTTCCAGGAGTTTGAACAGGTAGGCCAGCATCATCTTGAGACCTTCGGGAATCATGCAGTCGATGGCGTCGATCTCCTTGGAGAAGCGGTTGAGGAGGTTCCCGCTGGGCGTCGTCTCAAAAAAGGACATCGGCGAGCGCAGGACGTTGTAGAGCAGATCGGCGTGAAGGTGGCGCGAGGCGACGATCCCGCCCAGCGCCACGGCCAGCGTCGTCCCAAACATGGCCAGACCTGAACAACCGGCTGACTGTCAAACTTGGAAATGATGGCAGGAAATTTTCGATTTGTGGGGCCTGCTTGAAACAAAACAGCGATGGCTGATTTTGTGCCTTTAACCCTTTCATGCACCCTGTAACCTGATAACATGATAAGCTGTCCACTGTACAGTGGAACTCCTCTACTACGAAACCTACATGGGCAAAAATTACCCCCTAGTGTGAAAAAATCCTCATGCATTAACACCATTCCCATTTTCCTGCCCCCCATACAACGAAAAAAAACCCTGTTGCGTTACATGAAATCGTTTTCTCTGTTCTTGCCTCGCGACGAGATTCACTACAACGAAGTCTAATCCAACAGCGACCTCTACTGCTTCGTTCGGAAACGGCAACAGCAACCACCACACTGGTTTACACACGCGCAGTAGTCCAGGAAGTATTTGTTATTGTTAGTTTCAGACGCTGCAAGAACGTTGCATTGTTAAAATGGCTACAAAACGGACCTTTGGATGTCAAGCAGCTAAGACAAGAAGAGCTCTGACGCTGGAAGAGAGGCGAAAAGTGATCAAAACGAAAGACGGAGGAAGCAAAATATTATTATCCAAGAAATTGATGACAGTGAAAGTGAATGCTGATCGTAAATTTCGCAATTTCTTTCCCTTTTTTTCTTTCTACACTCACTATATGAAGTGTCAAATAAGTGTACATACTTATGCACTATTGGAATAAAAATAAAGAGTACACTTACGTTTGTGTGGGCGTGTACACACACGTGTGTGCGTGTGTGTGTGTGTGTGTGTGTTTACATCTGAGATCAAATTTGCTACAGTGAAAACCCCCCTGTTGTGAAAAATTTCTTGCTGCAAACATGATTTTGTTGTAGAGGAGTTTCACTGTAGTAAGCGCTGTGCCTGAAAGGGTTAAATAGCGTCTGAAAAATGGCCTCATTATTCTGTCTTTCTTCCACTAACATTCCAATTCTATCACCTCAAACTTCATTTTGGTTTTTTTTTGTTTTTTTTTTTTGGTGTTCTCTCGACCAACCTACCAGAGCTACTCAAAACACAAAAAAAAGGGCGTCTCGGTAAATCGATCCCTGCTCCAAGGACCAAAGCGTTTTTGGCATCGCCAAGACCAAATTGCCAGAAAGGCATTTTTGCCCAATGCCGAGATCTTGCAAACTTTGTTCCTCCCGACATTCTTGAACATGCGACACATCCAGACCTTGAGTCAAGCCCAGAGCTCCAAACACGCCGAGTCTGAGCATATGATCCATCTGGGTGCCGTTGACGGGACGGTCGTCGGCCCACAGGCTGAGCCAGTAGCTGTACGCCAACGAGGCGGCCTGCTGGAAGGCGCACAGGAAAACGATGGTCATGATGAAGGACAGGCCCACGGTTCGGAAGTAGTCGCCGTATACTTGCAGCTTCACC